CTGGGAATACAGGCATGAGCCACCGTGCCCAGCCTATGCATTAGTTTTTCAATTAACTATTGGGTGTCCCCTAATCTTCTCTTCTTTAAAAATTCAGTTCCAGTCTTCCATTTGCAAATTTTCTCCCTGAGTGGGCTTATCCTCGCCTTTTTCCATGCAATCTATCTCCCAGATCTGTTTCTTCGCCTCTACTGTCTCCCTTGAGGCAGTTTCTCCCAGTTACCTGAAAGTCATTTTTATTTGGATATTGTATAACCATCTCAAGCTGAACTTAGGGGAAAAAACCCCTCCCTTCCTTTAGATTGCTCTCCATTTTGCTTCTAAAATACAGAAAGAGTCAGGACACAACATTTAAAGCATCTGTGCTTGACTACACTCTCTTCTCTCACCTTTTTTTAAATTGTTATTTTGAGATGGAGTCTTACTCTATCTCCCAGACTGGATTGCAGTGGTGCAATCTCAGCTCACTGCAACCTCCATCTCCCGGATTCAAGCTGTTCTCCTGCTTCAGCCTCCCAAGTAGCTGAGATTACAGGCTTCCACCACCGCACCTGGCTAGTTTTTCTATTTTTAGTAGAGACAGGGTTTCACCATGTTGGTCAGGCTGGTCTCGAACTCCTGACCTCAGGTGATCCACCTACCTCGGTCTCCCAAAGTGTTGGGATTACAGGCATGAGCCACAGCACCCAGCTCTTTTCTCAGTTTGAATCTTTCACCAAGCACTCCTGCCATCTCCACCCCACCCCCAAACAATACTGTCATCATATGTTCTTATTCTCCTCTCCAGCTAGATCCTTGATCATTTTCTTTTTGCTTCCAAACTTTCTTTCTCTCTCCCTTCCTCCCTTCCTCTCTGTCTCTCTGTCTCTCTGTCTCTCTTTCTCTCTTTCTCTCTTTCTGAGACATAATTTCGCTCTTGTTGCCCAGGCTGGAGTGAAGTGGCATGATCTCGGCTCACTGCAGCCTGCACCTCATGGGTTCAAGCAATTCTCCCGCCTCATCCCTCCCAAGGAACTGAGATTACAGGCATCCGCCACCATGCCCAGCTAATTTTTGTACTTTTAGTAGAGAAGGGGTTTTGTCATGTTAGCCACGATGGTATTGAACTCCTGACCTAAGGTAATCTACCCGCCTCAGCCTCCCAAAGTGCTGGGATTACAGGCATGAGCCACTGTGCCCAGCCTGCTTCCAAACTTTCAATCTGAGCTGGGCCCAGTGGCTCACACCTGTAATCCCAGCACCTCAGGAGGCCAGGGTGGGTGGATCACTTGAGGTCAGGAGTTTGAGACTGGCATGACTAATATGGCGAAATCCCGTCTCTACTAAAAACACAAAAATTAGCCAGGCATGGTGGCGCGTGCCTGTAATCCCAGCTACTCAGGAAGGTGAGGTGGGAGAATCACTTGAACCCAGGAGGTGGAGGTTGCAGTGATTCGCAATCACGCCATTGCACTCCAGCCTGGGAAACAGAGCGAGCTTCCATTTCAGAAAACAAACAAAACAAAATAACTTTCGATCCATGCCCTGAAAACTAACCATCTGCCTTTTCCCACTTCTCATTGTTCTCCTCAACAATTGCTTTTCAAATTCTTTTTCTACTTTTATTTCCCCTCTCTTCTGTTGCCCAAACAAGAGCACTTCTCTATTCTTTCTTTACCTAACTTTTTTTCTCAATTCCAAATCTCTGGTACTATCCCTCAAGACACCCACGTTGTCTTTTCAGAATTTACTTTAAACCCCAGAATCTTCCCTGATTAAATATTTAGAATTTCTTTTTATTTTCATGCTCAACTAGCAATATCTCCCACTACCCATATTTCCCTGCCTTAACTTTTTTTCCCCTCTTTACGTGTGAGAAGAAAAACAAACCACCCACAAGCACTGCTTTCTAGACATCCCTATCTTTGTCGTACTTCATTTGCTAAATGCTAGCCTCTGTTAGAAATCGGGTTTTTGTCTTAGGGGATATGTTCTGTGGTCTCGAACTCCTGACTTCAGGTGATTCGCCCGCCTCGGCCTTCCAAAGTGCTGGGATTACAAGATGTGAGCCACTGCACCCAGCCAAGAATGCTGGGGTT